ACATGGTGTTGTTAATCCGAGCTAATTGATGCGAAGCAATGCGAGCAGCAGCAGGCGGCGCGTGTTTATCGAAAAGTCGATGCATGTGTTTAGCGGTAATTACGCATTGTTAGGCGGATACGAAATTGCAATAGGTTCTCCTCCAATTGCAATTAAACGCTTGCATTAGCTACGTGATGCGATGAAAATTTTAAGCGTTCATCCAGTTTATAATAAGTAGCTAACTTTCCATTTTATCAGATATAACTTTCGCCTGATGTCGCCATTCGTCCACCTCCGTTCCGAGGATCGCGAATAATTTCGAAATCTTTCCCTCAGAAATACATTTTTCTTATTCATTCGTTATTGGTTCCCATCGAAAAAGGAAGGACGGTTTATCTATTCGCCCTTCGAATTTTCGAAATCGAAAAAAAGGAAACGAAGAATAATTCTTAATTCTTAATTCTCCTTTCGATTTTATTAGAAAGAAGTAACTTTTCTAGAAGAGTGTATATATATATATATAGATGGCTTACCGGCGGGTGATGTAACGGAAACTGATTGGTTGCACTGCTGATTGGAATTCTGATTTCCATTGCTTCCCGCGCTGGTGTTCAATTTCCTCAATTGTTTCTTATGCTTCATCCGCCTGTTTTGAAACCACGTTTTCACTTGGGTCTCGGAGAGGTGAAGAGCCGCCGCGAGCTCGACCCTTTCAGGCGTGCTCAGATACCTCTGCACCTCGAATCTAGCTTCCAAACCCGCTAATTGTTGGTCGCTGAACACCTAAATACGACGCAAACAATGCATCTAATCCATCATACGTTTTATTCCTTCCCTATTATCGCCGTGACATTTAACCGAACTAACAAATTTCGAACGAGCAACTACCAATTCGAATTTTTGTTTACCATAAAAATTGGTAAACTTGGACGATAAGAAGGAAAATTTTTATTTCGCGCAAGGAATAAAATACGTACGATTTAAAATTGCAATTAACCCCGTAACGTTTTACAACGATTTTTTGAAAAGCTTCTGTCTGACTTGTTTAAAAGAATTCTAGCCTCACTCACTGTTCTTGCCTTTCGTCGGCGGCAGTGCTTCAAGGCCGCGAGTTCGGTAACTCCCGGCACCACTCCAACCCCCATTGCGGTGTTACCGAAAAGCGGTCCGAGGAAGAAAGTGGCCGTGGGTGGTGCGGAAGGGTAACCGGGCAACAAGCTGGCGAATTGTTGGTATTGTTGATGCTGCACCCCGTGGGCGGACGTCAGGTGTTGGTGGTGAAGCTGGTGATGGGAATGCGGGGGTGCTGTGCCACGGCTCAAAATGTCTTCGATCAAAAACGAGGTTCTGCTCGCCGATGTCCCGTTCTGACCTGGCTGGGCCTGTTGCTGCTGGCAAGTCGACTGCATTTTCTTCTCTTTCGCGAAGATATATTATTCTCGATCCTTTGATTACGTTCGAACACCTTTACATAGTTCACACAACCGATTTTCTTTCTGAACTCTCTCTTTTTCTCTATCCTCTTCGCTCTGGATGGATGTTTCTTGAAAATTTCTCACATAACTCAATCCTCTTTCAATTCTTCTTGCTTTATCCTTCGAAATAAACTTTGGTAAACACCTCGAAAAACTCTTCCACAAGTTCCAATTTCTTTTAATTGCACTCTATATATATATATATATATATATATCTTCTTATTAAATCTCTCGCAGCACGTCCAACAACCACCGATCAATTAATTACCTCCCTCTTCGTCCAATTCCATTCGACCTCTCACCATCCGATCTTCTTATTCTTCACAAATAAATCTTCACGAATAATAATCTCCCCGAAAACGGGGGAAAAGAGCACACACTTCCTCGAAGAAAAGAAGCCTCGTCCAGTTTCACATCCGCGCGACACAACTCTTCTCACTTCGCCTTCCTTCCCACAACTCTTGATGAACTCTTCGATGATCACGAAGATCGATCTCTCGACGCCTCTTTCTCCCTCCCCCGTACAAAATTTCCAAAATCACAAATTTCTTCTTCACGTATCCGCACGTATTTTAAAACGAAAACTTCACGGTCCGCGCGCACACGAAAGAGGAGAGGTGTGTTGCCCCCCGCCTCGTCCCCCTTTTTTCCCGGAGGTGGCGGAATTTTGGCGGAATCGCGGATCCCTTGGGCGAAGGGAGGTCGGCAAGGGGGAGGCGAGAGGGAAGAAAAGAGGAAGGAAAGAAGGAAGGAAGGAAGGAAGGAAGGAAGGAAGAGGGAAGGAAAGAAAGAGAATTGTAATTGAATTGAAAAAAAGGTAGTCCGCCAATCTGCGGGAAAGAAAAGTGGTCTCGCTCGAGGTAGGCACGATAGATGGGTAGGCAGGCACGACGGAGCGTCGCCTCGTCTCGACGTGGACGTTTAGGGAGTATCGGTGCGCGATTCAAGGCGATTCAACTTGCCTCACCCCCCTCCGCGATCATCTCCACCCTCAGCCGCTCTAACTGGCCAAGATAAGTAAAGCTCGGAAGCGGATATCGCGAGGGGGGAGGGTTGGAGGCGACATCCAGGCATTGGTCGGCGTCGCGGCGCCTGTCGTCGCCACGGTTGGCCCCGCGGTGAACGCGGGGCGGTACCAACGGCGCCGTTTCCATGGACACGCGCCGCTCGTCGAGGCTCCGCTAGGCCAACGCCGCTCTATCTCTCACCCTTGCACCCCCGGAGCAACCCCGGACCTGAAAGGGAAAGGGTGGAGGAGGAGGAGGAGGAGGAGGAGGAGGAGGAGGAAGGTGAGGTGCTCTCTGTATTCGTGGTTCCCCCGTGTCGTTGTGCATTCACATCGACTGCGCGATGACGATGTTCACGCGTGCACCTTTGAGGTAACTTTACCTACCGCTTAAATTGTATTTCTTTCGCCTTTATCTTTCGGCTTTTCTCTTTCCCTTCTCCCTTGTCTTCCTTGTTCTTCCTTTTTCTTCCTCGGTTCCTCTTCTCTCTTTTTTTTTACGTTTGATCGTCTCGATTTAGGGGAGAGATTAGTAGGAGAAGATCGTTTCGAAGGGAGAATCGGACTTAGGAGGGATCGGTTAGGTCCGTTTTTTTCTTGAATTTCGATTATGTATATATCGCGATCATGTCATGAGTGAAACGATTTAAAAATTCGATTGAAAGGAGATTCGAGATTTTTCGATGATCAAGAGCGAATAACAGGGTGATTTTAGGTATTAATACATAAGGATTAAGACATTAAGACGGTTTCCTTTATAATTTCACCCTCGCTTCTCTTTATTCGAGAGAATTTCATTTTGCGAAATTTAATAATTGCATTTCGAATGAGATATGGAAATATACGATAGATGGTATTTGGTTTATGAATCGTGCGAATGACGAGATGCGATATCGAACAATTTCCAATGTTTTCTCTCTCTCTCTTTTTCTTTCTCTCTTTCTCTGAAATTCGTGAACCGTGTTTAATGTTTATTTTTCCAAGAGCCCGTAGGAGGCCTTTTTCGTGAAAAACTAATAATTTTTTCTATTAAAAAGTTTCTCCGAATGAAAAGGGAGAAAAGAGAGAGAGAGGGCATTTTTCATTTGTCCACTGTTTGCCGCGTTTCATCACGCTTTTCCTCTCCTCTTTCTTTCCTCCTTTTTGCTTTCTTCCTTCCTTTCTTTTCCCTTTCTTTCTTTTTTTTTTTTTTTCCTTTTCGCTATATCATAAGTATTGATCCTCCATCTGCATTGAAGCATATAAAGGCTTTTTTCACGAGTCAATACGTCTGTATTGAGTCTTGAAAGGATGCGTATCAGGGAGGAGGGAGTATCAAATTAGATTTACTCGTTGGACGATGTGTACGCGAAGCACCATGTATATATATATTTGGAATGCCAAAATAAATGATACGCTCTCTGTACACCTCCTCCTCCTTGTATCATCCTCCGTATCTTGCAGTCTAAGAGTACCTCTCGATCGATCGACTTATTATGGCATTACGTCGTAGTCGCTAATGCGATTTTTCCATCCATCAGACATAACCGCCAATTGCCGTTGAACTGAAATAGATAGTTTAACGAATTTCTCTAACATCTCCTCCTCCTCCTCCTCCTTTTTACACGCGATAAATAAATCTAAATAATTCCTTTTTGATTCCTCGAACCTTATATTTTACTTTCCCTTCCACCCTCGATCATCCAAAAAATTACTCCAACATCTCCTCGTCCCTTATAATTTCAAAACAATAACCATAACCTCCCCCCCCCC